GCAACAAACAACAGTCCACCCGTAGTCCACAGATAGCCCTCCTGGGATCTGCCTAAGGTCCTACAGGCCATTACCTTACCTCCATTTGAGCCTGTCCGGACCTGCAATTTACAATACCTGACCATTAAGGTCACCTTTCTAGTCGCTGTTACTTCTGCAAGGCGCATTTCAGAGTTAGAACCCTATCAGTTAGGGAGGATCTTTGTACCTTCTACATGGACAGGGTGGTACTACGTTTGGACCCCTCCTTCGTTCCAAAGGTCAATTCCCTATTTCACAGAGCACAGGAGGTGGTGCTTCTAAACTTTTGCCCCGAGCCCTCCCATGAATTGGAGCGTAAGTGGCACACCTTAGACGTTCGCAGGGTTTTAAAACACTACATCAAGCGAACGGCACCCTTCTGCAAATCGGAAGCCCTGTTTGTCTCCTTCCACTCTCACACAAGAGGTCGAAGGGTCACAGCTTCCACAATCGGAAGATGGATTAGAAGATGCATAGCAGAGGCATACAGGGGGCAGTCGTTAGCGGTCCCCAGGCAAATCACTGCACACTCCACTCGCAGCGCTGCCACCTCAGCAGCGTGGGCGACTCAGGCACCGATTGAGGAAATATGTAGGGCGGCGACGTGGGCATCACCTTCCCCTTTATAAGACACTACAAGTTAGATAGGTTCGCATCTGCGGAGGCCTCCTTTGGCAGGAGGATACTCCAATGCATAGTATCAGAGATTGGGACACAGGCCCAGACTGCTCCCCACCCACAGGGACAGTGAGGCTTTGGTATGTCCCATTGGTGGATTCTCCACTCATCATGCTAGATAAGGGGCGTTGGTCTTACCTGAACGCCTTTTCTCAGCATGACGATGGAGAATCCACGCCCACCTTTAAGGCCAGTCAGGTCCTGTGAGGGGAGAGGATTGAGCCAACACAAGGAAACGTAGCCAACAGCTTTCGCCTCAGTCGAGACTGGGAAGGGGAGGTCTCAAGAGGAGAGACGAAGCAAAATTGGCTGACTTAGTCTACGGGCAGAAGACAAGCAAAATCCATTGGTGACCATTGGTGGATTCTCCATCGTCATGCTGAGAAAAGGCGTTCAGGTAAGACCAACGCCCCTTTTCCATTTATGTTTTATTTCTTTGCATGTTAATGTCTTTGTGTATTCCTCTTGAATCATGAAAAGATGCAGTGATTCTGCTCAACCAAGTTTATCAGAAGTTTTACTGTTCAGATTTACTGATGCATGGAAAAACTACTGTCATAGATTTTTAATTTTTATAAAAAAGAATTGTTTAAATTCTAGCTAAACTTGTACAATTGCCATTGTTGCTACTTTTGCATTTATTGTAGGTAATCAAGGATGTTTGCTTATTAGTTAATTAAATGCATATACTGCTACTGCTGATGTTATCTTTAAAAGTTATGCTTAAATTTTCAATACTTAGTCCAAAAAGGATAGGACTGGCTTTCCAGTGTTTCAATTGATTATCCCTTATTTTGGTGATATGAAATACAGATAATCCTTGAATTACGAATGTAATAGAGTCTGCCGATTACATTTGTAACCTGAGGATTCGTTCAATTGGATCACGTTAAATGAACGTGATCCACCCTGTTTTACCCAATGCATTTGCTAATTGAATGTGCAGGTCATTAAATGCATATGAGGTCTCTCGGGGGGGGAGACCATGCGGGTAGTGCTGCAACAGGCCACCCAAGGCCTCCCCAACCCACTGAGATACCTCATACTCACAATCCCTTGGGGTCCCCATAGTTGCTTCTCCCCCCACCTATACAGCCCTGCCAGTTCTCCAAAGGCACTTGGCCTGCTTTGCTAGCCTCACCGATTCCACTTACTCCTCCCCACCCCATTTCCCATAGCTTGCTTACTTTTTGAAAATCTCCAGAGTTCCAGAAGAGGCTGACCCACGCGGAAGAAAAGCCGAAGTCTTTTATTCAGATGCTGGTGAAACTGTAAGAATGTGAGATTTAAGGAAAATAGCTTTGCCAGCATCTGAATAAAAGACTTCTGCTTTTCTGCTATGAGGCCAGCATCCCTGCAGACTTCGTTTGGACCCAGACTGGGCGGCGCCAGCAGCTTCCTGCTTGCTGTTGTCTGGCTGGTTTGAATGAGCAGCTTCAGGGATTGGAGTGTGATGGTAGCGGTGGAAGCCAATCAACATGGAGCTTGCAGTTCAGTCGTATGAGAAAAAGGAAACAACCTCTACGTTGATTGACTGCCATGGCCCAATTCCTGAAGGCTTCTGGTGCCGCCCAGTCTTGGCCCAAATGAAACCTGCAGGACACTGGCCTCATGGCAGAAAAGCCTATATCTTTTATTCAGATATTGGCAAAGCTGTTTTCCTTAGATCTCACGTTCTTAGAGCCCCGTGGCGAACCTACCACAGATGGCACGCAGAGCCCTCTCTGTGGGCACGTGCACCGTCGCCCCAGTCCTAGGCCTTTAGTCCCGTCCATGAACAACGTGCATCAATACCCATGCAGAGTAAGGTTGCCACGCCCGCCCCTGCCTCCCCAAGCGTTTTTTTACTAACCTGCCTTTCAGCTGCATTCCATTTCTCCGTTCGCTTCTCAGCCTTCGCCGCGTGCTTGTGGGACTATCAATAAAAAAAAAAGTTCCATCAGACTTTCTAACTTCTCGCGAGATCTCAAGAAGTTAGAAAGTCTGATGGAACTTCTCTTTTTTTTCCCGATAGGCCCACAAACACACAGCAAAGGCTGAGAAGCGAACGGAGAAACGGAATGCAGCTGAAAAAAAATGCTTGGGGGAGGAGAGGGCATGTAGGTGGGGGTGGGCGCAGCAACCTTACCCTGCATGATGGCGGGAGGGTGGGGCATGCGCCCCTCCCATGCCAGGCCAACCCCTGAAGCCCCAGGGCGACCATGCTGGGTGGCGGTGGGCAGGGTGTTGACGTGGGGGCCGGCAAGCTGACCAAAGCAGCAGGTGGAGCGCTGGAGGCTCGGGAGGGAGGATGCTGAAGTGGGTGGTCGGGCCATTGGCAAGAGCAACGCATCTGAGCGGAAAGCGGCCTTGGGAACAAGTGGGGCAGGTAAAGAAAGAAATCCTCGCTCCCCCCAGAAATTGCCTTTCTTTCCTTACCTGACTCCCAGCCCCATGCTGTTTCTTCTTCGCAATCCGCCGCCAACGCATGCAAGGAAACGAAGTTTTTTTGGGGGGGAAAGATCAGTCAATCAATTTCATCTTCTCGTAAAAGATCGCAAAGTTGGAATTGATTGATTGACCTTTTTTCCCCCCAAAAAACCTTCCTTTGTTTCCTTGTATGCGGCGGCGGTGTCAGATTGCGAAGGAGAAAGGGCACGGGGCTGAAAGTCAGGTAACGAAAGAAAGGCAATTTCTGGGGGGAGTGAGGATTTCTTTCTTTACCTGCCCCACTTGTTCCCAAGGCCGCTTTCCGCTCAGATGCATTGCTCTTGCCAATGGCCCAACCGCCCACTTCAGCACCCTCCCTCCCTGAGCCTCCAGCGCTCCACCTGCTGCTTTGGTGGCTCTGTAGGCAGATGTGCCTACAGAGCCATCAAAGCTGTAGCTGAATGTGCAGGTGAAGGGGAAACCTGTCCCACTTGTTCCACGGCCGCTTTCAGCTGAGCCACATTGCAGCAGAATTGGGCACAATACACGAGGCGGCAAACAGCTGCGTCACGCCAAAACCAGCTGTTTGCCGCCTCCTGCCCAGTGCCGCTACCATGAGACCACGGAACAAGCCGGGCGGCTGTAAGAAACTGGTATAGCGGTTCCTTACCTCCACCCGGCTTGTTCTGCGGCCTCATGGCAGCGGCATTGGTTGCGACATGCGAGGCGGAAATGGCTGTGGCCAGAAACAAACATCCATGTTGCGCTGAAATCGAGGGGCCAGCAGGCTGTGGCTGGTGATGGACAGAGTTGACCCTCATGCGCTCGCTGTGTGCGGGAGCCGATGGTGTCAGGCAGCAGCCGCCCCGGCCCCTGTCTCGCCTTGCCTTGCCCTGTGGCAATGGCACCCCTGCTCTGCCCTCTGCCTCGCTTCGCCTCACCCCACAGGATGAGCCTCCTGCCCACCATCCCACCTGCCAGAGACCCCCAGGATTTCCCCCAACCCTGCCTGGCCCCCACAGGCATCCCTCCCCAAGAGCAACATTGAGGTGACTACACCCACCACGCCCACGCCCACCCAGTCTGCTGTGACCACCGCAGCCACGCCCACCCAATGGGCCACGCCCACCCGGCACCCAATGATACATAAGTGGGTTTTGGGTTGTAGTTTGGGCATTCGGTCTCTAAAAGATTCAGTATCACTGTTAGGGCCTCACCAGCATTTGAATAAAAGACTTCGGTTTTTCTGCCACGTGAGGTCAGCCTCTTCTGGAACTCTGGAGATCTTCAAAAAGTAAGGAAGTGATGGGAAATGGGGTAGGGTTGGAATCCGGGAGGCTAGCAAAGCAGGCCCAGTGCCTGTGGAGACCTTGCAGGGCAGGATTGCTGGGGTGAAATAGATAGGGAGCATGTTACAACTTCTCTGCAGTCAGTCGTAAAGGCTGCAACATATATAACTTTGGGACAGGTTGTAATTTTGAATGGTCATTAATTGAACTGTCGTACCTCGAGGAATACCTGTATAGATTTTACCTGAAACCAATAAAATAAACTCAAAAGGCTCTTGTGAATAGATCTGGAGTTCGTGATCAGAATGGAAGTGCAAAAAGTTTTATTGCATGAGTAGGTTGTTTGCATATTATTGGAAAACACTGTTTTCTGTTGACAACAGCAGATATAGAAAATTGGTAGTTTTGCAAAACGATATGAGCAGACGTGAAACTGAAAAATTAAAGCAGAATCTGGCTAAATAACACTTTTTCCAATTCATAATAACCATATTTTGTTTAAGTATTTTAGGTAGTCATGCAACGTATAGTTTTTAAATGACATTCAATATATGATATAATCAAATATGGTAAATATTTTGAACAATTTTGCTGTTAAAATAGATGGTGAGCCAAAGCCTATCCACTGTTCCTTCACGAAGCCAATGTGTTGATATTGTACAAAGTGGAATATGTAAATATCTGGTAGGTACCAATTTGGAATCAATTTATTGTTTCTTATATCATTTATTATGATTAAGTATCTCTAGCTGAAGGTTGATTTACAGTCATTTTATTTAAAATATAGTATGTGAATTTTTAAAAATAGTATATAAATATATATTTACTTGAAATGTTACATTTTTGTAGCTTCTTTTGACCCAGTAAACTATAATTGCTTATCTATAATAGTAAGCTTTATATGAAATCATTTATTTACTCCTGAGTGTTATATAAATGTATAATCACTATACTGAAATTCTTGTTTTTAAAATGTAAATCTGCCTTTATTTCTAAACATAGTGAAATCAAACAAAATAAAGCAGATTTAAATATAACCATGTAAAATTCTAAACATTTTTTTATTAATAGCACCAAGATGTCATTCAATTAGTCAGCTAATATAAAAACTTTCCCATAAAGCCAGATTAATAATAAATAATAAGACCTGCAATGTGAGTCTCCCTTCGTAGAGCGTTCTGCCGCAAAAATGGGAGGAAGAGTCCCTGTCCTGTATTTTATTCACCTATAAAAAAAATCTGCTTAGAAACTTTGGAGCAAGTTGGAATGACAGATTGTAAGCTATAATATAATTTGTTAATAATCAGTCTTGATTGTAAATTCAATAGAAAGATGAAACTACTCACTGGATTCTGAAATGTGCTAAGTACCTTTTGTACTATTTGATGTTTTGTATAGCTGTAACACCTCAAAAATATTATTCTGCATCTAAACTGCAGTTCAAATTATATGTTGAAAATATTGCTGAATAATGAGTTTTTAATAATGCATCTAAATCTTCACCAGTAAAATATAACAACCTTAATGGACATTTGAAATTATTATCATAGCAGAATTCTTCTCTTATGTTTATAAGACATACAAAAAATATTTGTGCTCAAAGATTGTGTGAAAGATTATTTATTCTGAAATTATTTTGTTTCCTAGGTAGGACTGACTGTAGTACCTGATAGCACTGCTGGTGCTATTTTGTGTGCTCTTAGTAAACTACTGGATCAAGTATATATCCTTAATGAAAATATTTCCAGGTTCCTAGCTTCACTGTGTTATAGTCTTCTCTACCTTTTCTTAACAATAGAGAGGGAGGATACGGAACATATGCAGAAGAGGTAAGCGTTTTAATTTTATATTTTATTCTTAAAATATTGGTACTTTCCAAGCATCGTATGTTTGTGTGAATATATGTTTTTGTTTATTGTGGCTGAACACTTGTTCAGTTGTACAGGTAGTCCTCCAGCTATGATCACAATTGGGCCCAGAAAACTGGCCATTGAGTGGTGTGGTCATTAAATGAGATGCCACTAGACTGCTTTGCTCAATGATTGCAATCCCAGCTGTCCCAGTTGTGGTCATTAGTGGAGTGCCAGGAAGAGGTTCCAGGTCTTCCATCAGACCCAGGGAGAATGATAATGAGAACAATGGTGTTCATTAGATTTGAGGTCCCTTGGCATGCTGGAGGAAATGTCCTCAAATCTGGTAAAAACGCTAGGGAACATCAGCATTCTGGAAAATTTAGAATGCTGGTATCTGCTACCTTTTTCTTTTCCCCTTGGGCTCAGAACACTGGACTTCACTAGCATTTTCCCCTCTGAATGGTGGCATTTAGAGAAAATACTAGCAAACACCAGTATTTTGAAAGGCTCATTAGCATTTTTACCAGAGAGGAAATATGTTCCTCTCCTACGGATGAGGATTTCCCGTTCATGCACAGATGGAGAAAAAAGAACACTTTGGCACGTGGGGGAATGGATTTCAGATCCAATGTTCCAAGAAAGACTTGCAACCTTCCCTGCTGGCGTCTTCATTAATTTTCTGGGGAAGCCAGTAAAGATGGCAAATAGCAATCATTTGATTGCTGGGCACTTGGCAATTGCTTGTAAATATGAACAGGTTGTCCAGCATCCAAAATATGATCATATAACCAAGGAGGCTGGCACAATGGAAAGAAGTAATTTATAGGTCGTAAAGCACCTTTTCCAAGACTGTCTGACTATGCAGGGTCATTAAATGACCAGTTGTAAGTCAAGGATTATCTGTACTTTGACACTAGTGACTGTAGACTTTGAATTTCTGATGAGGATTTGTATTTCCTTTTCTACAATATTCTAAATGTAACATTACATTTTATAAAATTTACTTTAATGTAAATTTTTCTTGCGGAGAATTTAACTTATGTCCTCCAAAGGTAAACTTAAGCAAGGCTTTTGTGTGTTTTTAATTTAGTAATGATCAATACATAATATATTCCACAATTAAGTGGGGCAGAAAGCCCCTTTCCCATTTTTAACCATAGCTGTAGGCAAAATGACTGAATTTTTCACAACTGTAAATTAGTAATAAATTATCAGTCCCTTGGAAGTTGTGCAAATAAATTATATCTATGAATTCTTTATTTATTTTTATGTATTTATTAAATGTATATATGGCTGCCCATCCATCTGACTTGCATATGACTGTGGGTTGTATTTATAGTTATAGTACAAGTAATACCTGTGGTTATTTGCCTGGTTTGAAGTTACTCTTTTCTTACTATAAATCTAGCTAAACTTGTGCACATCTAATTCCCCCCCCCTTCCTCAACTTCGGTTTCAGGGATGTACTGTGGAGTTCCTGTATCTCAATTCTAAGCACCTCACTTCAAATCTTGAGAGTGATGTTGCAGACTCTTCAAGTGAACCAAGCCTCCCGGGATGAATTGCCTGTTCTTGCTCAGCTTCTTTGTTTGCTAATGCAACACAGACAGCTTCAGACTCATATGAAGACCAGTGAGTTCCTGGTGAAACAGATTGTCAAAGATATCATGGTAAGGAGTCTATTCTCAGTCACTGGCTGCCGAAGCCAAGTTGTAGTCTTATAGAATTGGAAAGTAACAGTTTTTCTGGTCACAAAAAAGGCTGAAAGAACTTGGCCCATTAGTCATTAAAGGATAAAGAGTCATTCTTCTCTTCTCTATCATAAGAATGATAGTGGGCTTTCTCCAAAAATCATTTCCATTCTAACCACCAATTCCAGTAAGTAAGGACTTACCATGTTTTCTGCTTCCAAACTTAGGAAATAGCATTACAATTTCCTGTCCTTATTCCTTCCTAGTTGGGATTGAAGGCAAAACTGTATACACCTTTTAAAAGGTTTATTTTGAATATCTCAAGGGTCTCTTCCTTTTAAAGAAGGACATATTCTAAATTTCTTTTTTCCACTTTGGGGTTTAAAGCTACTATATTAAAAATAAACAAGAATAGCTATTTTGCTCTCTATCTGTAAAATTATGTAGAGTCTGAATCCCCCCCTTTTTTGTTGAAAGTGTACTTCCTTTTCATCCTTTTTTCAAGCACAACCTTATTCCCAGGCAGGTGTGACAGAGTTTCCACATAGTAGTTATCTTGAGATTTTCTCCTTCAGAGTGTTTTTTAATCTATTTTAATCTTTTCTAATTTTTTTTCATTTAATTCTTTAAACTGTACAGCTGTTTAATTGTTTCCATGTACTAATACAATTGTGTGACCTTAAGTAACCCCCTTTCATAATTTCACCACTTTGGAATCAAGCTTTCACTTTTAATACCTTAAATTTTTATCTGAATGATGAAAACTTAGATTCTTGCTCCTCTGCTAGGCATCTATTAGATCAGGGCTTTTCAACCGGTGGTACGCGTACCACTGGTGGTACGCGACCACCTGGCTGGTGGTACGCGGCGTCGCCTTCCTCCCCCTCCCCTGCGTCGCTTTCCTCCCCCCCCCACTCTGCTCGTTCCCAGCTCACTTGTTTGTGGAAAATGCTGCTTGGTGGCAGCCTGCACAAACCCTACCGAATGTGCCCTGCAGGGGGCACGCGAAGAGCGCAGGTGCAGAACAAGGCCCCGCCCTCCCCAGGGACTCATTGTGCAGCAGCCGGATTGACTTCTGCTGGTGCATGCAGGTCAGTGGGATCCATGGGGCTCTTCCCCTCCCTCTTCTTACTTCACAAAAAGCGCTAGCCTGATAGCCCCTTCTGGGCTGGGAGAAGCGCACGCCGTTGCTTGTATCGCAGGCTTAAAGTCTGAAACAGCGGGGCTCTTGGCTGACTGATCGCCTTTCTCCCCCCCCCTCAACTTTTCTACAAACCGGGAATCGTGGCTTAGTGGGGGCCTGGAGCGGGTCTCGGAGTGCCCGTGCACCCCTTGGATCAGACAAGTGAGCGATCGACTTTAGCCTTTGGGGAACAAAAGCCGGTCAGGGCTGATCTCTTCCTGCCCAGGAAGGCTGGAGAAGCCAGGAGAAAGTCAATTATTAGAGGTGGGGGAGTCACTTCTTCATTTAAGGCAGTTTTGGAAAAGTAACTTTTGCTGGAAAGGAAAGCAGGTTTCCCCCCCCCTTTCTTGGATCGCCTTCTTTGCTTGGGCCTCTGTTGCCTGTATCGCAGGCTTAACATCTGAAACAGTCGGGCTCTTGGCTGACTGATCGCCTTTCTCTTTTCGGGAGATGCGCCTTTGCAGCAGGCTTCCCCTTTCGTTAATTGTCGGAAGTTTGAAAGGCAAGCTGCTCCCGGAGCGTAAAAGTAGAGGGCCCAAACGGCGAGAGTGACGCAGTTCTCCGACTCTGCTTCAGAGGGAAAATGTAGGGGGAAAATGACTGGGAGAAGTAGCCGGTTCTAACGGACGTGCCTGAAAACGGGAGGTGAACCGGCCACATCCCCGCCCTGCCTGTGCGCTCTCCTCTGCCTCTGCAAGCGCACAGGCAGGGCCGTGTTGTGTTTCTGCCTGCCAAAACCAGGCTGGGGTCTGGATGGCGTAGCACAGGACGAAGGAACGAGGAAGGAAGGAAGGAAGGAAGGAAGGAAGGAAGGAAGGAAGGAAGGAAGGAAGGAACAGACAATGGGAGCTGCAGCGCTGCAGCCTTCCAGTCCCGTGAGCGTCTTTCGGCTGTGCTCCAGGCCTCGCATTCATCAGCTGTTCGGCGGCCGAGAGACAGAGCCTTTCAGCTTCAGGCCGCTCCATTGGCCCTTGCCTCCCTGCCTCCCGCCCATCAGCTGTTCGGCGGCTAAGAGTAGGAACCGCTCAGCTGTTGGTCGGGACGCATCCACGCTGCCAGGTAGAACGGTGCTGGCCGCTGGTCTCCTTTGCCGCCCCACGTGTCGTCCTCGACCCCTCCCCCCTCCCGTTCATGTCGAGCCCGCGGGGGCTTGACAGGTAGAGAGGGAGGGAAGGAGAAAGGGAACAAAGGGGGAGGTAAAGGAAAGAAGGAAGGAAGGGAAATGGGAGAGAGGGAGGGAAGGAGGAAGGGACAAAGAGGGAGGTTAAGGAAAGAAGGAAGGAAGGGAAATGGGAAAGAGGGAGGGAAGGAGGAAGGGACAGGGGGAGGTGAAGGAAAGAAGGAAGGAAGGGAAATGGGAAAGAGGGAGGGAAGGAGGAAGGGAACAAAGGGGGAGGTGAAGGAAAGAAGGAAGGAAGGGAAATGGGAAAGAGGGAGGGAAGGAGGAAGGGACAAAAGGGGAGGTGAAGGAAGGGAAATGGGAAAGAGGGAGGGAAGGCAGGCAGGCACCTGCCCCAGTCGCATCCCCCTCCACCAGAGACCCACTGATTCCCCCCCACAGGCACCCTGCAACCTGAGCGATCAGCTGGCCATGCCCCCCTCGGCCATTGATCACATGACCCTGGAATACTGAACGTCATAAGTATGAATCAGTTGCCAAGCATCCGAATGTAAATCACAAGACCCTGGGGATGCTGCAACAGTCATAAGTGTGAAAAATGGTAATAATTTGCTTGTAACTTCAAACAGTCACTAAGTGAATTGTTGTAAGTCAAGGACTACCTGTACTTTCTCATTTTTTTCCTTTTTTGGGGGGGGTCAAGTTTTTGATACCTTGTTTGCGAGTGGTGGTACTCGGATATTGCCTTATCCAAAAAGTGGTACAATGGGTGAAAAGGTTGAAAAGCCCTGTATTAGATAGTTTGCAGATCTTTCAGAGAAGCAGGAAGATAAAGGCTCCTCCCTTAAACTGAACTCAGCCCTCATCCATCTAGTGTCTAGAAAACATTACAGAAGTATTTTATTTTGTCTTCTCCCAATGTGTTTCAACTTTCTAGTATAGCCTGTAGCCTTAGCATTTCCTAGTGGTCCCCCATCCAAACAAGATCTGACCATGCTTAACTTTTTTTGAAACTCAAGGTCCCTAACAGCTGCCTCTTGCTATAGCAAGTAATAGGGCTTGTATTGGGGGACTAATTATTCCAATGTCTGATAGTTCCAATATCATTAAGTCCCCAAACCATGCTCAGTCCAGAAATTGAACTTAAAGTATCCCTGACAAATATCTCACTCTCTTTCAGTAAAGGAAAATTCATCTACCATTTTAATAACTTTTTATTGTCCAGCTGCTTTTACCATTAGGAAAATTTTCTTCATATGCCATTAGAATTTGTCTCCATAATTTAAGGATGACAGATTGGCAACAAAAGATGGATCCAGTTGTATTGACTATCAGTGATCTCTTGTTAATTTCATTATCTATATATAAAGTTCAGGGTTTAACTGTGGAGTACTTGGTGCTCTCAGCTTGGTTGTTTGCTGCAGAGTTTTCATTACCAAACTAGGTAATATCTTCTGTGCACTGAGGATGTTACTAGTTGGATAATGAAACATCTGCAAGCAAACAGCTATGCTTAGAGATCACCAAGGACTCCACCTTTGTTATCTTTCTGTAATTCTCCATTTTGGAACTAGTGCAGTTGATAACTGTTATATGAAATCCTTCTCTGAATGGGAAACTATATTTCTGTAAAATGAGAAGCCATAAACACTTCTTCAACTGTTATCAAGTCCCCCAACATTCTGTCTTTGATCTCCCTTTGTTTCTAAGATTTGTGAAATCTTAATAAATACTACAGACCACACACTTAATATTTTAAATTTAGCTTCCTAAATTTTAGTGGATTATGACTGCTCCACTTTCTGTGCCTTGGGTCGCTACAGGCCTTTTCCCACTCCCCCCAGGTCCCCCCAAAGGTCCCCCCCAGGTCCCCCCAAAGGTCCTCTTTCTCACTTATTGTCTGAAAAGCTCTTAGACCACTGGAATGGATTGCTTCTTTGTAGTACTGTGTGTAATTCCTGAAGCTGCTCCAGTTTGTTCTGCCCACAAAATGGTGGTTGATTTAGGCACCACCATGTGGCTTGGGGATAAACTGCTTTGTTCTGCTATCATAGCAAGGTCTACAGCACTGTAGAAACTTTTTGCGGCATTCAAAAGGATGCTTTCATTTGATTTCTGTGTATAATTTAAAATGCTGGTTCCCCATAAAGCCATTTATATCTTGACACTGGGTAAGACAAACTCCTCTTACCCGAATAAACCTGATTGTTGGGTTATCCAAAGAGATACTTTGGCTGTTTGTACAGTGTATAGTTCTTTATACTCAGGAGGTAAAGAGTGAAACCAGGAAGCCCTATTTTTAAGGGCAAACTATCTGGAATAGTCACTGAACAAAGATCAGATTTATTTCTTCCTTGATGGCCTTCAAGACTTAAAAACTGAGTAGTTTGAGAGAACAATTTAGTCAGTTAATGTCATCTTTTTTATTTTCCTGATTTATTCATTTAGACTTATTGTATATATTGTATATGTTAATTATTAAACTGAGTTCTACTAGACTTTTACCCATAGCGATACTTTCACTGATTTCACAGACAGAGAAAAACATTGAAGTGGAATTCCATAGTATTTCCTTTAATTACAAGCATCTGCTTGCTAATATGTAGACAAAATTAATTTACCTGTTTCTTGGTATGTTGTGTTATAAATATTATAAAACTGAAATGCCTATGTGCCTTCTTAATTTAAAAAAAATCAGTAACTTTTCTTCTTTGTATTCTAGATCAGGGGTCCCCAACCCCTAGGCTGCGGCCCACTAGTGGGCCGCCATCTCTTCAAAACCAGGCCATGCAAGCAGTAGACACCCATGTGCATGTGCAGCTCCCCTTGTGTGAGCGGTGGGCACGCACAGTCATGTGCAGCTTCATTTGTGTGCGGTGAGCACATGCACCCACCACTTGTGCAAATGGAGATTCACGAGCTTGCATACACACTACCACTCATATAGAACCATCTCATCTCCCCCCCCACTGGGCTGCCAAGCTGGAAAGGTTGGGGACCACTGTCCTAGATAATTGTATAGGTAGTATCTTATATTTGTATCTACATGAATTATAGATATGAGAAACATTTTCTCCTTTAAAAAATAATTCATTCAAATGCATCTTTGGTTAAATATTTCAAGTAATCATTATGTTTTTTGATTCACAGGTCTTGAAAAGTGATGAAGCTCAAGAGCAGTGGTTGACAGACCTCCATTACAATTTCAATATATATTTAGCCACTCATACCCCAGGATCTGGGGCAGTCAATACACTATATTAAAGAGAATATATGATTGCAAACTCTTTGTAGGAACGAAAAAAGTCATTTTTGTGCAAATTAAAAATGCATTTTATACAATCTATGATTTGTGTAAAAACTGTTACTCTTTACATTTGCTACTAAGATTTAAAAGTTACATGAAATAAAATGGAGTAATACAATAGCTTAAAGCAAATAAACAGAAACATATGCAAATACTGAGAAACATATCAAGAGAAATTTTATATATTGTGAAGAGCAGGGGACAGTTTAGTTGTTATCATTAAATACTTGCTTAAGTCTCAATATTGTGCAGCTTAATATATTAAAAAAAGTATAGATCATTTTAGGGTGAAAGTTCGTTGTCCAAGCTGGTGGGTTGGTTTCAAAACATTTCATTAGATAACATCTTCAGCAGAGTTTAGGGGGTGTCAGTGTCAGTGTTCTTCTGTTTATAAGGGCTTCAGGTGTGGATGTGTCGAGTGAGGGTCTTGTGAGCTTATAGATCATTTAAATAAAAGCACTGATGAAATTACATTAAAGATACTTTAAAATGTCCACAAATAATCAATAGGCTTTCTTATGCTATAGTGTAGTCTTATTTTCATGGCTGAATCTGGTGTGTTTTGCTTTCATTATTGTGGCAGGTTTCATATTGTACGAAAAATGTTTATATTTCCCTGGATTTTCCGATAAGCAAATATCTTGCAATCCGCCTGCTGTAAAAGAAGCATAAAGTTATTAGTGTTTTTGTTCAGTAAGGACTCAAAATAGTTGGTTTTCTTTCTGTATTAAACATAAAATAACGTAACTTCAAAATTCTATTTTATGTAGTTGAAGACCATTAAATGACAAATGTACTCTTAATTTTTTTTAGAGGACTCCTGTGTCTATAGCTGGCAGCTATTATCTCTACTATGTTCTGTGGCATACTTTAGCTCTACCATTTTTATATAAATCTGCTTATATAAATCTGTTGCTTTTTTTAAAAAAATCAATATTCCTGTTTTGTCCATTGAGAGGTATTATAAAAGGGAAAACAAGGGATAACTTCAAAATTGATACAGTAGTGCTTAAAAGTTTGTGATTTCTTTTTTGAATTTTCAGTATTTCAGCATAAATATGACATAAAAATGTGATCTGTCAAAAATACTACACTTGTTCATTTATTTAGGAAAATTATTCAAAGCTACATATTTGTTTTGGGTTAGGGTTTTGAGGAAAAGATGAACCTCTAGGTTATCAGTTCATTTGAAAGTGGGTGTTTCCATCAATGAAATAACAATTGGGTGTGAATGTTTGAAGAACAGACTTTTGGGTATTTGCTATCAAAGTCTGGAAGGGTCTTATTGCTCAAAAATGATTTATGGAAACCTGAAAAAGCTAAAAAAAGTTTAGAAAATGTTTGGACTCCATCATTGTCCATTGTCAAACAGATTCAACATCATTGTTACCAGGAATGGTCTAACATCAATTTTGGGAAGAATAGCGATGGTGAAAATGAATATTTTACCAAAACTACTTTTCCTATTCCAAACAATACCTATAAAATTAAAGAATTTTTTTATGAATTAAATGCATTGATTTTGAAATTTATCCGGCAAGGGAAAAAAGCCAGAATTAGTCTGAAATTGCTACAAGAAGCGAAAGAAAATGGAGGATTTGGGCTATCAGACTGGGTTCTATACTATCAAGCAGCTGTATTAACATAATTAAAAGAGTGGATAACCCTTAGACTCAAAAGACTACTATACCCTAGAAGGACATGACCTACAACTTGGATGGCATGCTTTTCTATGGAATGGGAAGAACAAAATCCATAAATACTTTCAAAATTACTATATAAGAAATGCCTTGCTTTTGACACGGGAAAAGATAAAAATGAAAATTTATATGAAAATACCAGGATGGATCTCGACAATGGAAACATTTGTGCACCCAAATTTAATCAACTCTTGAGAAATTTGTGACATATAGAGACATTTTGAATACTGATTGGAAATTATAAACTAAACAAGAACTGGAAGAACAGGGCATTGAGCTATCATGGTGGCCATACTTGCAAATGCAAATGAGATATGAAAAATATGCTAAAATGTATGGTTTTTATAAAGATCAAACAGGGTTTGACCAGATACTATTGTCATCAGATGAAAAACTGATTAAGAAACTCTAAATTTTTGTTAAACCTGAAGATGGAAGACGAACAAGTTAAAGAAACAATGATAACTTGGGCAAAAAATTTGGGCACAATGTACAACTAGAAAAATGGCAGAATTTATGGGAAAGAAACTATAAAATAACAACGGCAGCTATTTATAAAGAAAATCTATATAAAATGTTTTATAGATGGCATTTACCACTTGCAAGATTAGCAGGATGAAGACTCTAAAAAGTGACAAGGAAAAAAAAGTTAAAACAAGAGTCTCGTGATGGTTTTCTTCCCTGAGGGAGGTGGGGGGACATGGAGAGAGGCTCCTGAGCCCCACAGCTCTTCTGAGGGGGGAGGAGGAGAGGGGGGAGGGGCTGGGCTGGGATTGGGGCTCCTCGTGCCTTCTGCTGCCCTCCTGCGCTTTTCTGCCGCAGATGCCACAGCTGTGCTTGCCTGTCAGGAGATGCACATGGGCTGCTCCCTCGCTTGTCATGCCGGGGCTAGGCTGGACTGGGCTGGGTGCGGAGCCTCCTCGCCGCTTCTCCCGCAGACATTGGGAGCACTCACCCCGCCTATCCCTCGTCCCGGGGCAGCTGCCTCTGTCTGGTGCTCTCTAGCCTGTTGCTGGCCAGCCAGACGTGCCGGGATGCCTCCCTTTGGGCTCCCTTGGCCTCTCCCCCCCTTCAGGCTGGGGCTGGTCAGATTCCCCCCATGGGCAGTGCTGTGCCTGTCCCTGACCAGCCCTCCTTCATCCTCCTCCTGCGGGCAGATCAGGGCTTACTGAGCTGGGCGGCGCCTCTCCCTGCCATGGCTCTCACTCCCCTCCGGCCTCCATCTGCCCGAGGCCCAAGCTCGGCATGCCCGGCTGGTTGGCGATGTGCTGAAGAGCGCAGGATGGTGGCAGTTGCCCCGGGATGAGGGGTAGGTGGGGTGGGCGCTCCCGATGTCCACAGGGGAAGAAGCAGCATGGAGGCTCTGCGCCCAGTCCAACCCAGCCCTGGCACGGTATGGAAAATGAGGCAGCAGCCCCACGTGCATCGGACCCAATCCTCGCAGAGCGCCCTTCTCCCGCTGCCCCAACCCGGTTCCTTACTTCCGCCCGGCTTGTTCTGTGGCCTCATAGCAGTGGCATTGGGCAAGAAGCGGCAAACGGCTTGCTGAGGATCAAGCCGTGTTTGCCGCCACTGCCACTGTCCTCAGAGCCAGCGATCAGCAGGGCCCCATCACGGGAGGACTCAGGGACGCCGGGGTCCAGCCCTATGAAGCCCACCTTCTTGCCCGAGCTGCCCAGATACATGCCCCTGTTGCATAACTTCTGCAGCGGCCAATTGCAGGTGCAAGTGGGGCACCCATGTAGGGTAGAGGCGCTGCCCGGGGCCGGAGTGGAGCCGGGCGGGACTGCGGGGTGCTTGCAGCAGCGGCGGCACAGAGGCCAATCGCAGGCACTAGCAAGACAGCTGCACAGGGCAGAGGCACAGCCTGGGAGCGGAGTGGAGCCAGGTGGGATTGTGGGGTGCCACCACCAGCGGCACAAAGGCCAATCGCAGGCACGAGCGGGACAGCCATGCAGGGCCAAGCCGCTGCCTGGGGCCAGAACGGGGCAGCAGCATGGCAGTGGCAGAGCTGGGTGGGGCGGTGGCAGCAACAGCTGGGTCACTTTGGCCAAAGTAGCATCGGTGGCGGCAGTGCAAAGGAGGCGAGGAGTGGCACCCGCAATCTGCCTGGCCTCCCCTACACCTGCTTTGCGCAGCTCCTCCTGGGTCCCCCTCACCTGCTGTTAACCCTCCCGCCACCATGCAGGGTAATGTTGCTGCCCCCGCCCAGATGCCCTTGCCTTCCCCAAGCATTTTTTTTACTAACCTGCTTTTCAGCTGCATTCCGTTTCTCCATTCACTTCTCAGCCTTAGCCATGTGTTTGTGGGACTATCAGTAAAAAAAAAAAGTTCCATCAGACTTTCTAACTTCTCACGAGATTTCGCGAGAAGTTAGAAAGTCTCATGGAACTTTTTTTTTATCCCACAAAACCTTACCCTGTGTGGCTTCGGCAGGTGTCTGGTGGGGGAGGGAAGCAACAGGCCCTGCCCCACCCCTCGCATGGAGCGCCCTGCTCCCACCACTCCACCCCCCCACACACACAAGCACCTTTTTTCCAGCTCTGATGCATCACTTCCTCTGCTGCTGTGTGGGACTGAAAATAAAGTTCAATCAAGCAATTCCAACTTTGCGAGATCTTTTTTTTCCCATGAGAAATTGAAATTGATTGATTGAACCTTTTTTTGCACATGGTTGCAGAGGCCTAGGACTGGGACGATGGTGTGCATGCCCACAGAGAGGGCTCTGCGTGCCACCTGTGGCATGCATGCCATAGGTTCGCCACCCCGGCCCTAAAGCAAAAAAATATTGGTCCAAAATACACATGTGGTTACAGAAAATGTTAAGAAAACATGTAGATTTTAAGCCAGAACTATTTTTTCTAGGTATAATTACAGAGAACTATGACAAAAATGTATATATTTAATATTACATGTATTAACAGCAGCAAGAATTACATTTGCACAGTATTGAAAAAATGAAAAAAAACACCATTGGAAAAAGACATAATCAGGAAAATTTTGGATTGTGCGGAAATGGACAGGCTTACATTGAAAATGGAAGGGAAAGAAGGTACAGAATATTTTCAAACATGGGATCATTTTTATAAATGGCTAGAAAGACAGAGTAGAGAGTAGAAATGGAAATTGTATTACTATTAATATCAAATATGTGAACCCAGACAACATGTTGTTTATTAAGCACCAAATATTTGTAACTATAAAAACTTAATAAAATATCTATTAAAAAAAACTCTGCATAGCCAAACTCTATGCCAAGTTATCTAAATGTGAGTTTCATAAAACAAACATTGATTACCTGGGATATTGAATCTCCCATGAGGAGGTCAAAATGGACAAGGTGAAGGTGTGTGCGGTACTGGAATGAGCACCTCCCCAAACCAGGAAGCAGCTGCAAAGCTTCCTGGGATTTGCCAATTGTTGCTGGCAGTTCATCCCCCCATTTGCTCAAATAGTCCTCCCCATCACCAACTTGGTAAAAACAAAAGGTGTGGGGGGGGAACAACCAAAACCCAGAAAACCCTTGAAATGGACTATGGAATGCCAGGCAGCATTCAAAAAGCTTAAAAGACTGTTTTCTGCTGAGCCGGTGCTGAAACACCCAGACCCAGGAAAATCTTTTGTCATCCAAGTGGATGCCAGTGATGTAGTGGTGAGGGCTGTGCTGTTGCAAGAGAATAAGGAAGAAAGCCTGCCTCTGTGTGTGTACACATCACAGAAGCTAACAAAAACAGAGCAACATGGACAGTGTGGGAAAAGGAGGCTTTGTCAGTTAGATGGGCTCTCCTTACATGGAGGCACTTCCTAAAAGGTAGCAAAATCCCATTCCAGGTCTGGACTGATCACAAAAATCTGGAAGCTCTGAAACCCCCCCCCCCCTGAAAATTATCTCCAAAGCAAGCACCGTGAGCTCAATACTTCCACCAGTTCAATTTCACCCTGCACTACCTACCAG